TTGCGCAAGCAGTGGCGGGTTTCCCAGGAGGGGGCAAAAAGTTAGGGGTCCACCAAGGGGAACCGGCCCTCGCATTTCCCCGCAATAATGTTGGGGGGGGGGAATTTGGGGGTTTTTTCCGCGCTCGGGCTGTGGATGCCTTTGGAAGAGGCGCCCGCCTTGTGGGGGACCCCGGGGATAAGGCCTTGGGGATAAGGCCATGGGGATAGGGGGAGCCAGGGGGAGACATGGCCAGGGGGAAACATGGCCAGGGGGAGGGGGGGCCCCCCCCTTAAGTGGGGCCGGAAAAGGGCCCCTCCTGGGGGGGGGGGGAAAACCAGGGGGTTTTCCCCCCCCCCTTCCCCCCCCCCACCTCTTTTTTTCTCTCTTTCTCTCTCTCTCTCTCTCTCTCTCTCTCTCTCTCTTTCTTTCTTTTTTTTTCCCTCTCCCTTTCCCTCTCCCTCTCCCTCTTTCCTTTTTCCCTCCCTTTTTCCCTTTTTCCCTCTCTCTTTCCCCCTCTCGTGGTGTGCGGACTGCGGGGGCCCCCCTTTTCTCCAGGCGCTGGTGGTCGAGCAAAACTTTTCCTACCTCAGGACAACCCTCGCTTCGGTCGGTTTTGTCGGCGCGCGTTGTTTTAATTTTCCCCCCCCCCCCCCCCCCCTCCCCTTCTCTCTCTCTCTCCCTCTCTCCCTCTCTCCCTCTCTCCCTCTCCCCCCCCCCCTCTCTCTCTCCCCCTCCCTCCCTCTCTCTCTCCCCGAGGGCAGCTCGAGGGCAGCACGCCGACGGCCTCACCGCCCGCAGGCATCCACGTCTACACCGAGGCGCACGACTCGGTGCCCGACGCCGAGATGCTCGCCTCCGCCGCGCCGGGCGCGCCGTCCGTGCAGCTCTTCCACGCCGAGTGAACGGGCGGCGGGCTGCCGGCACGATCGGCCAAACGACCAACTCCGCGACTAAGAGAGACAGAGAGAGGTTTGATACCGTAGAGTGCCCAAAGGCGTCGGGGCGGACAGGGGAGTATTGTAAATAAACAAATAAAAAACGGACACCTCTCTACTGTCAGAAAGGGTAGTGTGAGGTGGGTAAAAAGGAACACAGGTCCCCGCCCTTTGCGAATGCGATGTTTGTTCCTGCTTCTTTTTGTGGGTGTGGTCGGCGACCGCAGCAAAACTGACCCTAGGGATTCTGATTCGGGGGCTTTAAGGGAACTAATCGGGAAAACTCCCAAGGGGAAGGGGTTTTGTCACACGGATGCCCCCCCCCCCCCCGTAACACCCCCCCCCCCCCCAGGGGGCGCTTAGACGTCCGTGAGAAGTTACTCAAAAAGAGGCGCACGGACGCCTCACCGACACCGTCGTCTGCCCTGCGTCGTCTGGCGACGGGTCCTCCATAGTCGGTCGAGGTCGCTGCCCTCCTCGTGCCTCTTCCCAACGTTCCCTCGGCGGCCGATGCCGACCGATGCCATCTGCTCCGGCTCCCCAGTCCCCGGGTCTGCCCTGCTCTCGTCTGCGCTAGTTTCTGCCTCGTCACCACCGGCGTCTCTCCTCTTCCTTCTCCCCTTCTTGTATGCTTTGCACATCGCGGGCCGCGCTCGACCGCGCGATCGCCAAGGAGGGAGCGCTCTCCATCGTCGTGCTGCTGCGGCTGTCGCCGGCCATGCCGCTCGTGCTCGCATCGGCTCTGCTCGCGTTCACCCAGGTGTCGCTCGGCCCGTACACGGCGGGTACCGTCGTCGGCTTGCTACCCTTCTCCGCGGTGTACTGCTACGCCGGCGCGGCGGGCGCGGAGGTTGCTGCCGACGCCGCCTCCGGCGCAGCGGGCGCGCACGAGGAGGGCCCGATGGCTCGGAACGTGAAGCGATGTAGTAGCTCGAATTGGCGTGAGCACCGGCTTGCTGCGCGGCGGGTCAACCCCATTATGCGCAGTCATCCGGAATTCACCCAATCGTTGAGCTGAGTTGCCCCGACGGTAGGATGCCGTGTCGGCCCAGCTGGGCGCTAGGCGCCCCGCCGCACTGGCGCAGCTTGGCGACGGGCGCGCAGTCCTCGGGGAGGATGTAATCGAGCTGACAGGAGTTGGAGGAGTTGACGAGGCCCTTGACGAGCTGACCCATGAGCCGTAGCGCGGCATGGGCTTGCTCGTTGCACATGTCGAGCCAGGTGAGCGAGTTTTCCTCATAGTTCGGCCTCTGGAAAGCCATGGAGATCGCCTCCTCCACCACGTCCGCGTAGAGGAGGAAGAAAGACCGGAACGAGTAACCCTGCACCGGGGTAAGTGCGAAGCCGAGCGCGCCGAGGAGCGCCCCCCCAAAGTCGGCCAGCTCGCGCACCAGCCACGGCTTGCAGAAATGGTCCGCGGGGTCGACGGCGTGGTTCCGCCAGCCGATCCGCCTCGTCTCCACCGACGACAGGAAGTAGAGCAGTCCGGGGTCGTCGGGGGATCCATACCAGTCCGTGTCGAGGTCAAACTTGAGGAAGCGACCCAAAAGGGCGGGGTGCGCGTCGAGGTTCCAAAGATCGCGTCGTGGACGATCACGGTGGTAGTGTCTACTGTAGTAGAGGCGTAGGACCGCCGAGGCGAGGTACTCTGGCAGGAACGGGCGCAGCTCGGCGAGCTTGCCCAGGCAGGGGCGACGCCGCGAGAGGGCGGCGGCCGAAGGGGCGTTCACGAGGATGCGCAAAGTGGATCGCAAAGTGCCAGCCAGCGCGAGGTCGAAGATGCCGGCGCGCTCGTCCGGCGTGTGGCACGGCGAGTTGAGGATGGTGCGCTCGAAGTCCACGAACGGGGCGCTGGAGAACTCCGCGTCCAGGCTGCCAAAAGCCAGCCCGCCTCCCCCGTCACCTCCGTAGGCGCCCGAGCGAGAAGGGGCCGTGTCTGTTGCAGCCACCGCACTCGGTGAGCGCAGCGAGGCGGCATGTTCGACCAGCGCGGCCACCACGGACTGCGGGGACGCGCCGTTGGCAGAGGCGGCGGCCAAGACAGCCCGCCTCGGGGCAAGCGAGGCCTCCACGCGCCGCACGGCGGTGGCAAGCGGCGTGGTGGGCGCACTCATGCGCGCGTCCGGCAGGAGCGCGGTGGCGAGGGCGAACACGAGGTCGCGCGCTTCCCCCCCTCGCCGGACATCGCCAAGGACTGAGAACAGTAGCGGGGCGCCGGGGGCGAGCAGGTAGAGGCGCTTATCCTCGACGCTGCGGCGGCCAGCGTCGTCGCGCAAGTAGGTCGCCGCATCGCGCGCCTCCTCCAGCCACTGCGGCCCCGCAACGTTGGGGGCGCAGAGCGAAGGGGGCAGCGCGCCCTCCAGCGCGAGCACGTAGTCCTTAAAATAGCTCGCCAGTAGTTGCGGGTTAGCACTCGGGGGGAGGCCGTACGCGGAGATGCAGCCGCTGGCGAGGAGGTGGGCGCCGAGCTGCACCTGCGACCCCGCGCGATCGCGCTCTGCCTGCCCCAGGCAGGGGCCGAGCATGCCGGAGAGGTAGGCGATCACGGTCCACGGCGCGTCCCCCTCGACCTCCAGGGTGGAGAGCGGGGTGCAAGCCAGCGGGGCGAGGCATGGCGCGAGGGCCGCGCGCGCAGCCGCCGCCGGCCTCGCCGCAGACGCCGCGGCGCTGGCTCGGCGAGGCGCCCCGCGCTGCGCATGAGCAGCATCCCCCGCCAGCGCGGCCGCGGCGGCGAGGCCCCCCACCGGGAGGAGATCGGGCCCTTTCACCTCCAGCGCCGCTGGCGACACATCGAGGCGGTCGATCGCCAGCTGTAGTGCAGCCGAAGAGGAGAAGGGGGCCGCGTCGAGGAGCCCGCACGTGAGCAGCTCGTTCAGAAAGCGAGCCCACGCGGTTCCGGTGAGAGCGAGGTCCAGCGGGCAGACCATCGGGGCGGGAGTACCGGCGGGGGGCGCCGCGAGGCGCAGCCGCCGGCCGAAGACGCGCAGCATCGCGTGGTGCGGAAGCTGCACGCGCGCTGCTCCGCTCGGCGCAGCCGCAACCGGCCCCCAGCGGAGGACGGCAGTAGCCACCACCAGCGGGTGGGCAGCGGGGCCCTGGACGGGGGCGTCGGGCCCCGCGTGAACGCAGTGCAGATCAATCGGCGGTACTGCCGCGGCCATCGCGCCCGACAGGGGCCGAGCGCGGCTCGCAGAAGCTCTCTTTATTCCCTAGTTCAAGCAAAGAAGGGGAGGGAGAGAGCGACGCGGCGAGCGCAGGCGGCGAGCGTGCACGTCGCCTGTGCGGCGTCTTGTTCACTCCCCTTTGAGCTACCTTTGTGCCCCCTTAGGGGCACCCCTCCTGCGCTGCGCGTATGGTCACCCCTCCCTTCCGCCCTGTTGTTTTGGATGCCCCGCTCCGAGAAAGCATGTCTCGCAGCTGCGAGAAAAGACCTTTTAGACGCCGTCCCCGGGGCGTGTTGTTCCTGCGTGTTGTTCCTGTTGCAAGCAAACTCGGATGTCGCATCGTTGCGAGGATCGTCGCTGGCGTGTTGAGCAACGGCGCGCCGAGTACGGACGCGAAGAGCGATGGCGGGGCGAGCCGCGACGGCGGTCGCGATCGCGCGATGAGCCGCGGCGGGATGAGCTGCGACGGCGCGACGAGCGTTGGCAAGGCGAGCCGCACCATGACGGGCGGCATGACGAGCGGCGCGGCTACAACGCCTCTTGGTGCAGTGGCCGCGAGCAGCGATGGCACGCTGAGCCACACGCAGCTGAGCGATGGCGCGACGAGCCATTGCGAGGCGAGCGATGGCCGCATCATGACGGGCGGCACGTTGAGCGGCGCGGCTGCAACGACCGACCAAGCATAGGCGAGCGCGAGCGCGACTTGTACGATCGGCGCGATGATCGGTCCCACGATCCCAGGCGCGACCATGACCGGCGCGACCGCCGCGGCGAGGGGCAGCCTCAGCACAGCGACCGCCGGTTGAGTCCGCCGATGCGTGGTGCGGGATCGCGCGACGAGAGGCACACCTCTGCTGCCGGAGGTCAGCTCGATGCTAAGCAGCTCAGCGGCCGTATCTCGCATGCCAGCGGCGCCGACGAGCTGCTCAGGCTCTTTGCTGCCCACAGCGCGATCTTGAACCACATCCACGCTGCGAACCTGTGGAACAAACTGGGCAAGCAGCGCATCGAGCGGCGGCACGAGGGGCGGCTTGAGCAGCTGGTGCAGCGCACGCTCGACCTGGTTTCTTCGTGCCGAGCACGCGAGCTGGCCAACGTGTCTCACGGCGTTGCAAGGTGCGGCCTGCAGGCGAGGGTGGTGCACCCGTTGTTCGTACGTGCTTGCGTCCCAGAGTGCCCTCGCGCAGAACCAACGCAAGTCTCACAACTCATCGGCACTCGAATCTCGTAACACCCATCCGGCCGCGAGCGGCCCCTCACTGCCGACCAGGTGACCGGGAATGGGCGACGCTGACGGCCCGGAGGTGAGACATGCACTGCTCAGGACACTCGGCATGCGAGTCTGCGAGACCCACACTGGAGGAGGCGCGTGCGGGTGGCTTGCAGTGGGCGGCACAATGCGTGCGCTGACACCAGTGGAGATTCGGCACGATCCGTGGGACGCCGCCGACGGTGGCGCCGTGCGGTTTTGGATCAAGGAGAAGAAGCGGTCGGTCGTCAACTACACTGCACATAACCAGCACGTCTTCCGCAACAACCCTCTGCTCTTTCCAGAAGGTCACTTCTCGCATAACGCAAATGCCCGACAGCTTGACCAAGGAGCTATGATGGGGACAGCGCAGCTGCGCGGACTGGCCGGCGTGTTGGACGTCGATATCGTCGTCATCACCGAGCACGACCACCCTCGGCTTCACCTGCATTGCGCTGACGGTGACAACGACGTGTCCTTCATATCGCGCGAGCGCGTCGTAGCCGCTTTCACCGGTGCAGAACTGAGGGCGCGGCGGATGGTCGCGATCTTCTTCGACGAGCGCCAGCACCATTTCTCTGACGTTCTCCGCCGGCCGACTCTTTTCTCCCAGTACAACCCCCTCTCTCTTTTCTCTCACGCCGCGCGTAGGGCCCTTAGGGGCCTAGAGAACACAACCCCCTCTCTCTTTTCTCCCAGTAAGCTAAAAGTACGTACATTGGGTGAACACTCCGGGGTTGTGTTTTTGAACACTCCGCATGGACATCTTCCCGCAGGAGACTGACGGAGATCCTCTCGTTTCCTACTTCTTCTGCCTCCTTCACGGACTCTATTTCCGTGAATCTTAGAGGCGGCGGCGGGCTGCAGCGGCGGCGTGGCTGGGGATCATCCCCCCAGGCTGCATTGCGATACTACCGATAACAGTCATTGTTTAGTTTGTTTAGCCGCAGGGGGCGTCCCTGTCCGGCTGGCCGCTAAGTGGCGCTCCCGTCGGTAGCGCGACTCAGTCAGCAGCTCTCGAGAGCTCTTCGCTCGCGTCCGACGAGCCAAGCAGCGTCCCGGGCGTGGAGTAGCGCGCAAATTGGGCCAGCTCGCGCTCTTTGAGTTCCGCGTGCCCAATAAAGTGGTGCACGAGCGTGCGTGGGTAGGGGTTTTGCAGAACGTACCACGGCACCTGACGGATGGCGCGCCGCAGCCGCTCCTCCGACATGACGTACTTGACGAAGGCTCCCTGCTCATAATGCTCACGCGAGAAGTCGCAGTTGCGCATCTTCCCCGGCCTCTGCTCGTCAGGGATCCGGCACGACCACGAAAGATCGTCTTGTCCGGTATGCGGCTGACTCGTATTGCGTCGCCAAACGCGGGAGGCGTGCTGTAGCCACGCATTGCACCACTTGTGCATGATGGCGTGGCCGAGCGGCGTGTTAGCCACGATCCATACGCCCGCGTTGAAGCCGGACAGCTTGGTATGGAAGACGTCGTTCTCGCCCGCCAACACAAAATGCACGCCGTCGCGTCCAACATCCTTGTGCACGTGCGGCTGCACGTCTGCTGGCCACACATACCGGTTGTCGCGTGCCTGCACAATTGGCCGTCCGGTGGGGTGCAACAGCGAGAGCAACTCCGACGGGCGCGTAGTGATCGCGGTGTCGCTGTCCATCCAGGCGACGGCGGCGCATCGCGTGGAGTTGAGCACCTCGTATCCTACAAAGGCCTTACGCCAGTGGGGCTGGATCTCTTTGAATGCGTTGTCACGGCGGATGTACGTGCAATCAGCATCGGCCTCGCAGCTCGCACGGTTGTGCTCGAGGACGCGAGCGAGGCCCGCCGCGTTGCGCGCCACACGCGCACCGGCAAGCGGGCGATCCTCGGCCTGCAGGAGGCAAAGCGTCCCGCGCGGTGCTGTGCGACGCCGCATCGTGCGCGAGGCGATTTCCTGAGTCAACTGAGCTCTGAGCTGGCTATGGACCAGGCGGTGCGCCTCGGCCGACGGCGAGAAGGATGAGAAGGGCGAAAACATCGCTGGGGCGGGTCGACGGCCTGTCACGCGCAAGTTGTGCGCAAGTTGTGGATACGTGGCGGGTGGGTGGGAGGTGCCTTCTTTCTTCCATTTGCAATCAATAAGAGCCACATACACCGAATAAGTTCGTAAGAGCCACATCATACGTGCACTGAATAACATCGGAAGGCGCTCTCACTAAAATTGATTGCACGTGTAACGGCCACACCGCGCGAATTGACCAGGCTGCGACGCGGCTGGCTCGTGCGTCCCCGAAACCCAAGCCTTACCGCATAAACATGGCCCTCATCGCCCTCTCCCTGGCGGCGGTGCTCGTCTCTGCCGCGCCCAAGTACACGCACGAGTCCATCCGACGCGAGCTCCAAGGTGGCGGTGACCCTCCCTCCCTTCCACCCTCTGCAACCCGGCGCGGCACTCGAGACTAAACACTCTTCCCGATCTCAGGTGGTGGCGGAGGAGGAGGAGGAGGTGGTGGTGGTGGAGGCGGAGGCGGAGGCGGAGGAGGAGGCGGAGGTGCCGGAGGAGGTGGTGGAGGAGGTGGCGGAGGAGGTGGCGGAGGAGGCGGCGGAAATGGAGGCGGAGGTGGGGGAGGCGGAGGCGGAGGTGGCGGAGGAGGTGGTGGAGGTGGAGGCGGTGACGCCTCGGATCGCTACGTCGGTTGTGGCCGACTTGGCCGCTGCGATGAGCCCGCTGGGTGGGTGAGCCCGACCGAGCTGCACGAGGTGCGCTGCTGCTCTGACTCGTTCATCGGCGGCTGGAGCCAGCGCAGAGACAGCTGCCCGTGGACAGAGTCCAACGCGCCCGAGATGGGTGGCTGCCACGAGGACAAGACGTTTGACGAGGCCGAGACCATCTGCGCCGATGCCAACGCCCGCCTTTGCACAGCCGCCGAGATGCAGGCTGACTGCATCCGCAGCACCGGCTGCGGCCACGACTCAGAGTTGATCTGGGCCGGTGACATCCCGGATGGAGGCGTGCCAGCGGCTCCTCCAGCGGCTCCTCCTCCAGCCTTGCAAGCCCCGTTCCGCTTCCAAAAGTACAATGGGCCCGCCGTCTCGTTCCCTCTTTCTGCAGCCGGCGCAGAGACCCTGAGCACGACGGACGCCGAATCGCCGGTCCTCTCGACCGAGTCGCTCGTCGAGTTTCCTCCCGACTGGGCGCCGGCGGCGACCCACGCAGACGACGCCGACCCGTCGGCCTTTTGGGCCGAGTTTGAGGATGTTGTCGACGTTCAGCTCTTGCGGCGCGCCAACACCCTTCGGCCCGCCAGCGAGTTCATGTCGCTGCCAGAGATCATGCTCGGCTACACCATGACGGACGGCGCCGAAGCGGTGCACTCCGAGTTCCCCAACACGTGGCCGTCGGAGCTGGTCAAGCACCTCCTCTCACGCGGCACCCGCATGGACCCGCAGATCGTCCCCCAGCGATCGGCGACCGACTTTGTCAATACTGACGTGCGCGCCGTAGAGCGGCCTTGACCCAGCTGTGCTAGCACTTGGAGTGTCCTGCGCCCCCTCCCACCCGTGGCGCGCCCGTCGCCTCGCGCCTGGCGCACAACCTCGCGGCGGGCTTATCGCCACACTCAAACACGCGCACAGGTGCTGCTCTCGCGCATGGCCGGCTGGGCCGTCTCTGAGGTCTCGCCTACAGCCTTTGCCTGCAAGTGGGGCAATGGCCGCGCTCGACCGGAGGAGGTTGCCTGGGCGGTGTCCCAGGGCACCCTGCCAGGAGTGCCAGCCTCGATCCGCGCCAAGATCACAAATATGACCCTGGTGTCGGCCACCGACTTCACTGCGTACCCCGAGGGGTCGCCGCGGCACCCCTCATACCCAGCAATGCACTCCGCCGCCTCCTCCGCCGCCCTCTGGGTCGCCGTCATGATGGACCTGTCGCGGGCGCAGCTGGCTGACGCCCGTCGCCTGGACTGGGCTGTCTCCCGCTTCCGGACGCTAGCAGGCGTGCACTACGACTCGGACAACCGGGTCGGTCTGTCCATTGGCCAGGAGGTGATTGCGCGTCGCCTGCCCGACTTCCTCGCTCAGTTTGGGGCCGACCGTGACGCGGTGCGTCGCAAGATTGAGCAGGTGCGCACCGACTGGTCGACGTACACTGGTTTCGAGTGAGCGCTTCCCGGTCGCGCCCAGAGCACCAACGAACGGATCGACAGGGACACGGGCTTGGTGGGGGGTGGCAGAGGCGAGGGCGGGACACGGGGGAACGGCCGGCTGCTGTGGAGTGTGTGGGCTGACGACATGGCTGGGCCCGCGCGACTTGAGTAACAGCGTGTGTGTAGCGATCCCAGCGAGAGCCGGCCCCCAGTCTGCCACGCGAAGAGTGGAGATGTGGCTGGATAGAGCGCCTAGACGGCAAAGAGTGGGCACAGTGCTCAGTGGCCGCACCCGCCGCCCGCGCAGCCGCAGCCCGCAGGGGGGCGCAGCCGTGCACCCGTCCAGAGCTGTGCCGTCGGCGGCATTCAATAGAACAAAAGGAAACACAAGAGATACAAAAAAGAGACACGAGAACGGCTAGGACAAGGAGCGCGCCATCTCTAGAGCCGTACCACACTGAGTCCACCCTCCTCACAGAGATCTACGCCACAGCGCAGACGGGGCACCCGAAAACAGGTGTACAACATATCATGGAGAGGAGCGAGACAAGTGTCTCGCATCCAGAGCACATAGCCACACCTCGCTTGCAGCCGCGCAGCCTCTGCCCCCGGGTAGTGGGAGGCCTTGGAGAGGAGCACCCGAGAGCGGCGTGGCGCGGAACGCCGCCGCCCTGCATGCACACGCTGCGAGAGGAATCTGTACAACCAAGAGGGGCGCCGCCCTCTCGGCGCCCCGCGCGACACTCGCCGTCGACGGACAGCCGGTCGTCCGAGCAGGTGGGTGGGGTGAGGAGCTGCGGCCTAGGGGAGGGTGGGTTCGGGTACCGTGGGGTAGGGGAGGGTGGGTTCGGGTACCGTGGGGTGGGGGAAGGAGC